GTCAACACCCCCTCTCGCAGCGCGCCCGGCAGAGCAGCCAGCGCGCTTCCGGAACCCCCGGAAGTGATGCTAAGCTGCGGGGCTTCCGTCCACCCCCGGGAAGCTGGCACGGCCTCCGTTTTCACTGAAGGTAGGTAGTGGGGCCTGTCGGGCGTAGGGGAAATGGGGGGAGGAGGGGGACCCGGATGCCTCGCGATCGACCTGTTAGTGGCCACGGATGGAACCTTTACCCTAGTGGGTAGGGGCCTCACTTGGGACTGTTCCCTTTCCAGCTTGGAAACCATGGGAAAGGCGGGGGGTGGGGATATGTAGAGCTCTGTACACAGTGGAGAGAAATGAATAAGAACCATATCGGGTCAGACCAAAGGTCCATCTAGCCCAGTCGTTCCATGGCGGCCATGCCAGTGGCCCCAGAGGGAGTGAATAGAACAGGGAATGGTCAAGGGAGCCCTTTCCTGCTCTCCATTACGGACACCGTTCCTGCCCATCCTGCCTTGTAGCCATGGATGGACCTAACCGCTGTGAATTTAGCTGGTTCTTTTTTGAATCCCATTAAAGTCCTGGGCTTAACACCCTCGGACGAGGTGTTCCACAGGCTGCATGAAGAGTCGTGTTATTCACCCCTTCACAGAACGCAAGCGTCAGCGTGACCCGAGGGCATGAAGAGCAGCCGATTGCAACCAAAGCAAAGGTGGTATGTCTTCCTGCAAGGCTGTCAGCCTAGCCTGTCTGTGTTGCAAAGGCCAGTCTGTTAATGGGTTCAGTAAAAACACGAGCATTGTGTGGAGAATGGCCCCACCAAGGGCTTCTAGCCACGATAGTCGAGGACAGAGTCCTGTGCTCCAGGTGCCCCTAAGCCTCCCGCGGTCCACTACTGGGAGAGGCCGACAGAGGCCGGATCATTGGCGAATTGCTCTCTTCTGTCCGTTCCCTTTGAAGCGTCTGGGCATCGGCCGCTATCAGACGACTGGTGCCTGGGTTAGGCAGACCACTGAGCTGACCTAGTGTGGCCAGTTATGGTGTTAATGTCCCCGTGCCCGAGGAGAGGGGCTGTGAAGCAGGCTCGCCTGCTGCCCTGTTCCAGGGGAGGTGCATCCGCTGGCCTGAGGTGAGGCTTCCTCTCCAGGCCAGTGGTGGGTTTTCCTGGTGGGCGGTGGGTCCCCTTTCTACCGCTGGTTGGTGGGTATGGTAAGGGGCGTGTGGATCATATAGCCTGTGTATGTGTCTGATTTATACAGCGGGCGGAGGGCCCCTGTGACTTCGCTGTTGACGCTGATGATACATTTTAGTTAAATGATATTAGGACAGAGCCAGGCCCTTATTTTGCCCTGTGGTTAAACCGCTTTGCTTGTGTGCAGGTGCTGTGGGTTCAAATCCCCCCCCCCCATCAGTTGTCTTGTAAGGAGCACTTTGGGTTGCTTTCCCCCATAGCTATGTGGGGCTGGCCTCCCTTTTGCCTGTGGAAGCTGTGCCACTGTGATTAAATGCTGGTTTGGCCAGGGCGTCTTTCAGGCTTCCTTGATAGCCCAGCAGTTCCACTGTAGCCTTGGACTGCACAGGTGTGGGTTTGTCTGCTCTGGGGCCGTTTGTGGACGTCCTGTTGGTGCTGTTCCATTTCTGGACCTAGCGCACCTGCAGGTCCCTCTTGTAGGCCAGCGGCTAGGCCCTGGGTTTGCTGCATGGGTTCCAATCTGTGCTAGCTCCTGCCCCCGCGTCTGTGACTGGGTGAGCCGGCCTCCCTCTTTAGCGAAATGCGCTGTGGGCTGGGCTCTAGGCTACCTCCACCTCTAGCCCAGTGGTTAGGGTACTTGCCTGGGCTGTAGGAGATGGTTCGAACCCCTCAGCTGTTTGGTGGGGATTTGCGCCGGGATCCCCTGCCTCCTAGGTGACTGCCCTTTGGGTGGGCCATCCTTGTCCCCACCCCTGCTCCTTCTCAAGAGGCGGTTGACTTCTTGGGCCAGTGAGGGGGTGGAGATAGGGATCGCTCACTGGTGACTCTCCCCAGGAGATGGCAGGCCCAGATCACACCCCTCAAAAGAGCAGGGACGTGCCCTGGGGTGCCTGCTGCAGCCAGGCCGTGTGTCCTGATCGTGGCGGTTTTACTGCTCAGCAGCACAGTTTTTTTAATGAAAAATAGCAAGAGGGTCTGCCAACACCTCTTACTAGAGTACGAGGGTTACACTCTCACCGGAGGAGTGGGGATTGATCCAGGGGCACCTGCACACCAAGCAAGCACCGTAACCCCCACACTGCCAAGGGCTCTGAGAGCGTGCCCTGCCCCAGGTAGCACTCACCTATCACTTGCCTCTCAAAGGGATTCGACCCTGCTTGTGTCTGCACCAAGCACCCAAACCGCAGGACCAGGGAGCAAGTTGCAAAGGGGCAGTGGCTGGCTCTCATTTCAGATTTATTGACCCCCCAGCCCAAAGGGACCCTCCACCTCTAACTGCCTGCTAGGCCAGCTCTGAGGCCATTTGTATGACACACGAGACCAATGTTGTAAGCCCTTCTCCAGCACCATAAAGGCAACCCGGCCCCCGCCCCCCTAACGTCTGGTTGTGGATCCAAAGCAGGAGTCTGCACAGAGCTGCTGGCTGGTGATACGTCCCAGTGAATGTGGCCCTACATGGGACACGTTCTGTCGAAGGAGTTGTAGCCACCCCAAGAACATGTTTTATGCCGGGGGCTGGATTGTCACCGAGGAGAAGGGGAATGGAGGTTCAAGTACCTTCTCAGCAAGCATCACCCCTCATGGTCTCGATTACCAAGGGAGTCTCAGGCTGTGCTGTTGACCACAGGCTAGCTAACAGCAGCAACCCAGCCACATGCCTTTGCCGTGTAATCCCTGCTCAGGAAGTTCTTAGGTTACTGCCTATCAGGCCGCAAAACGCACAAGGGCCGAAGGGGAAGGACATGGAGGCCTATGTGGCTTTTACCCAGAGGTTTGG